GCAAATTACTATAATTTAAATGGCATTACTATCACCGATGTAAATATCCTTAAATAGTTAATCTAACGTTATTTTAAACGCGGTTTAATATTTAATTAGAATTTGAATTGTTTAAAATTAAAAGTCAATCAACGGTAAATATCTGAATAAATCAGTGATACGTACATTATCTTATCTAAGCTATTGCATACTCTCAAATGGCACGAAAGTTAAAACATGTTTGAAAGTTGAACAGGAATTAAAATAATTAAAACGGTACGGCTGACTGGTCGCTTTCTTTACTTATTCGATGATGTATAAATTCCAAAGTAATTGGTTTAATGTTCGATGTTTAATTAAGCAACGTAGGAACACTCAAAAGTGAAAATTTAATCAACCGCAAATATTCAAGTAAATTAGAGATGTGCATATTATCTTATCTAACATGATGCGTATTTTTAAACCGTGCAAAGTTCAAAAATGTTACTGAAAAATCACTATTGTACATGCACGAACCATTGTAAAATAATTTCCATTCGATATCGTCCCATTGAAATGAGTAAAAAAATTAATTCTCCGTCTAAAGGTAGTTTTGCATGCAATCATAAGGAAAGGAAAGAAAAAAGAAAAAACAAAGAAAGAACGAATCAGAGTGTTGAAAAGCTGGAAAGCGTTTCCGATAGTTGTACAATTGGTCACGGTTTCGTTCCAGCGATTTTGCGATTTACGCAATCGACGGTTTATAGAAATTCTGCGTTTCGAAAGAACTGTTTCACCGGCTCTTCTCGATTTCCCCGCGTGCAATTTTCAGCTAAGTTCATCGAACTTCGCCGCGGCAACTATGCTTTCCAGCCGTATACAAATGTTTGACGGAAAATCAGTCTCGGTATGGAAACACCGTAGAGTTCAACAAAGAAAGCTCGACTGTGGAGGGATTAAAATAATTCTCGAACAACCCTTTAACTTCTCTTCCACGATCTGCTGGACTTTTTACTTCACCGGGAAAATTAAACCGAAATTCGCGGCTCGAGCAGTTTTTCCCCGGGAAACCTTAATAATTCCCACCAGTTCAACCTGGCTAATCGACCGCAAACAGACTACTCAAATTTCATGGAGGATCTTATTTATTCTAATCACTGGAGAGCTCGCGAAAGGGATTAACCCTTTACATACCGCGGGATATCATCAGGATTCTCTTTCCGAATATCTCGTTATCCGACTGTAATTTTATGTTTGCTTTTTGCGATTAGGTTGGCAATTAGATATTTATAAATTTATATTAAATTAAATTTTTAAATTAATAAAATAAATTTATATATATATATTATATTAAATATAATATTTATAAATTAATAACAATCAAAATATAATAAACCTTCTCTCATATTTCGCTTCGAAATTCTTCGAACTGTACCGTGGAAAAAAAGAATAAAATGAAAAATAGTTTAAAAGCGCAGTTCGATCTTCCTAAGCCGAAAAGCAAAGAAAGCTATCCGACCGCGATAATTGACTTTCCCTCTTCTTGGTTGTTTGATCAAAAGTTGACCCGAAATCCGGCGCTAGTCTGGTATTGTTTGAAATAAACTAAAGGAGGGGAAGAAATGAGTAGAAGCAAAGCTCATTTGCGGGTCTCGCGGTGAAACAGTCGTGGGAAATGTAAAAAGCGTTTCCTCGTTACATCCGCGCACGTCCACTCATCGCGCAACAAATACGTTTTTATACAGTGCATAGCGAGAATTAAATTTGCCCCTCTTGCTTTCCTCGAAACGGACAGAAATGGAGGGACAAATAGTCGAGGGAACAAGGTGGAGCACCGAAAAGTGAGAGAAACGAACACGGTCGAGAGGGAAATCGTTCAAAAAAAAAAGAAGAGGAAAACTCTGGCTGGTACGCGCTTTTTATCTCAAGATTACCGGTAAAATTTTAATTACGAAACCTCCGTGTTAACGATGAGAGCGTATAATTTTTATTACACGGCTTATTTTCGCGATTCGGTCGAACGCGAATTGGAATTTTCTGCTGAAATCGAAACATCGAAAAAACGTGGATTTTTGTTTTTAAATGTCGATCATTAATCGTGAAATATTCGTTCAAACGTGTCGACAGATTCTGAAAATTCTTTAATAATTACATCCCTTATCGAATCGATTTCTATCTAATTACAATAATCACTGCTTACATTATCGATAATACTATTAATCCTCTTTATTGAATCAGAAGAATCGTTGATGTTATTAAGGATTCTATTACTAATGCGAATCTCTGAGCATACATTCGTAAATAAATTAAAATGTCCTATCGTTTATCAATCACTGTCAAATAACCCTGCTAATTCACCTACTCCAATTTCAATCACATACCGATCACATAGGATAATACCATTTATCCTATCCGATACCTTTCATTAACACCGATTCATAATTTAATGGGTGTACAATGCGAATAACGCGAAAGGTAATAGGAACTGTGATACATTTTCAAAAATAATTAAAAAGTGTTACAATCGATTTGGGTCAAAACGACAGGAAAATTGGAATTTTACGTGAGAAACCTTAATGGAACCTTGATATTCCTGTTCGCTAGCAATGCGGAAGAAGACCGTAAGAAAAGGACACGTTAAAGGAAATCGAGCAAAACGACGGCCAAGTTTCCTGCTCAAGCCGTTCCCGTTCGATCACTCTTCCTGATCCGAACGGCAAAACCGCGAGTAGAGCCGGTCGAGCGAGAAAATTGTGATTTTCACCGTCGTGGAATCGTGCGCCGTGATCCAGTCGGATGGAAGGAGGAACGCGTGACCAAATCGAGATCATCGGAAGAAGAGGGCGGGAAATAAATTATCAACGGGTTTTACGAGAGACAGCGGCCTGAACGTGGCGTGAAGAAACAAACCCACCAGGAATAATTCTCAGAGTGTTATTCTTGGACGAAAATAAGTATCATGATATTTCTCGGTATTGTGCAACTTCAACGGGACTAATAGCCCGTGAAAAATACGTGACTAGACGCGATTGTATTTCCTTCCGAAAATCCTCGATTCGTGATTCAGAGCTGAGAAGAATCTTCCCATCTTCGAGATGAATATAAATAAATGATAGAATATTAGCTGAGAAACGGTGTTCGTATCGCTTTGATTCGAAGCCGAAGTTTAATAAAAATTTCTGTATAAACAAATCATCGATATTTGGAACACTTTGATAGCCGCACGTTTCGCGGAATCTGTAACTATTGCGATTTTACGTTCGTTTTTATATCGTGCAGAAGATTATTAATAGATTTATATTTGACAATTTTATTGAATGCCTGAATTTACGAGCTCCTATTTATTTGCTGATACCGTATTGCTTCGTATCCCTTGTACGAATTGCTTTAACGTAAAAATATGCGGGTCATAGATCAACATCAATTGGAAACTGAATTTCAAAATTGTGAAAATGTATATTTGCGTAAACATCCGCAGCTCGTTATGTTTTCCGAGTAGAAAACATAAAGAAACGCGCGAGTATTCGATTGGTACACCCTGCCAAATTGAGAAACCGATAGAAACTGGAAAGCTCAAAGCTGGTACGAGTAAAACGTAAACTTTTAAACAGTATTTGTAAACACAGAGAGAGAGAGAAGCAAAAACGAATATGCACGCGAATTTGACGAAACAAGTTGATTTTATATTTATCACCTGTTTATAATAACCATAATAACCCCCTTGGTGGTGATACTGGTGCAACAGTTATACATGAGAAATTTTACAAACGGTAGGATCACCCCCCTGATAGCACTGTACAAAGCTTGACACTCTGTATAATCGCATTAATAGGATACTAGAAGTCAGTATGCTGGCTCGCAGCAGTGTCTGATCAAAGGAGCCGATCTACTTGAGCAAGTGTCACGTTAAACAAGGTATAGCCTAGTAAAAGGCACAGAATGGAACGAGTCTCGTGAAAGTTAATGGAGAATTTGCGAGACAGGTGGAAGGTAATAATCAACGGGTTGAACGATCGAGGAAGGGGATTACGGGAGAACGCGATTAACCTATCGTATCACTAGTAGCGTACGCACAAATAATTCCAACGTATGTCAGCTACGGAATCAAGTAGTCTGACCGTTCGTACGTTCGTACGGTCGCCCTACCGTATATGTATACCATACATGGGAGTACCTATATACGTATATGTATACCTATGCATATATCTGTAAACGCGTGTGTCGTGTGACGAAGCGTAATCCATTACCATATGATGTGACACACAGCGTATAGCGAGGGCCTCGCGAGCTCTCGTGTTGCGGAAAAATCAATAACAAGCGTGGTCTGGCGTGGCGCGTCACTCTCTCAGGTGCCTCGGCTACGAGGAAGGAAGCCCGCCTGTTAACCAGCCTAGCCAGCCAGCCAGCCAGCCAGCCAGCCAGCCAACCGTCCGATCGAGCGGACGATGGAAACGAGTCACCTGCCGTACACTGTGTGTTGTGGCGCACGATCGAATTCCCGCCTTCTCTACTTGTATACGCATACCTACTCAACGTGTTACCGCTTTTCCTATACGTGTTCGAAACACGCGCGTCCATGTGTATGCATCGGCAGAACGTAAAGTTCGCGCGTAGAATGCGCATGCGCGTCTCGTGACGTGCAACCCGTAAAACAGAGAAAGATAACCCGTAGACGGAATAGGTGAACAGAACGATGAGAGAGAGAAAGGAGGAAGGAAGAGGAAGAAGGAGTGAGAAGTAGACGGTAAGCGCGCGAGAGTAAACTAGCAATATGGCGAACGTGCAAGTAGGATAGAGGCTAACCAGGGGTAAGTTGACGGGAAGGAAGGAAGGAAGGAAGGAAGTATGTCGGATACTCGGTACAAATGTGTGGAGGCGCGATCGTGGCGCGCGGCGAGAGTCGAGAGAAAGGGAGCAGGGTGAAAACGAGGAAGCGATCGGCGCGATTATACCGTGTACCTCGCCGAGGTACCGAGGATCACGCGTAATGCACACGCGCGTTTGTTAACGATAGAATTGTATGCAGTTGTTGGTGAACGTACCTCGTCTTCACCGGTGGCCACCGTGTTGACGGAGTCCATACTCTGGGAGAGCGGTGCGTCCATGATGCAAGCGAGTTTGCTGGATGGTCCGGGGTTTCCGGGGGCTGCGGTTCGAGCGGGTGGCGGCGATGAATCCACCGTATCCCGTCTCGGGCGTTTTAAAGCGGGCGGCGTTATGGTTGTACCGGCGAAGACGACAGGCGCCTCCAGGACGTATCACTGGATATAACCTTTTTATCGCGAGAAACCCAGGCGTTTCGCCTCCTTCCTCCTTCTCCACCTTTACCTCTTCTTCCACTTCCTTCAACTTTCTTCCGTTACCCTCTCTCTCTCTCTCTGTCTACTCCTTTTCGTCGTTATACTTCTTCCGCTTCCTGTTACGTTTCTTCCTTGACGCTTGCACCTCCGCCTCCACCGCCACCACCACCTCCTCCAGCCTTATGACAGCGCGGTGCTGCTACCGTTCTCCCTGCACCTGTCACGCGCTGCAAGGGCGTCAGGAAAGACCAATGCAGAGAGAAAGTAAGAGAGAGAGAGGGGGACAGAGGGAATGAGACAGTCCGAACTCTAGGTAGAATGTGTATGTAGCCTGCAGGTGTTCCCACGCGTCTATTTTAGAGCAATCGATACACCGTGCCCGTGGAGAAGGGCCGAACCCACAGAACGTGTTCTTCGACGGTAGCTTGTCGACGGCACTTGTTTATCAACCGACAGGTAGCCCATACAGCAGACTTGGAGCGATCTTCTCTCTTGACGTATCACGTTCGGCGATTTTGATTAATCGTTGTATCAATCGATAACGCAGAGAACAACGACGGGGACGATGATGACGGCGACGTGGACGACGTTGACCGACGGTTCGAATGTATCCGCACGACGTGCGCAGACAGGCGGGTAACAGCGATTCGCGGGAGACGTTAAGCGCGTTTTTCGCGATCGCGGCGCGTGCGTTTGCCGTGTGTAATTGCGTTTACTTGATGTTTATAGAAAGACGAGATAATACGTGTATATATATATATATATATTAATGTAGATCGATTTTGTTTCGTATAGAATTATATACCGATTAAAAACTGAGAGACCGAGCGAAAGGCGAATAATCGATCGAGACGAACGTAAACTGTTGGACCGCGATTTTAAATGAACAACACACCGGCCAGGCAAGTAAGAATAATAATAATATTGTTACGTAAGCACTGCGACACGACTGGTACGCAGGTTGCCGATAGACTGACGGACTGCGAAGGAGCGCGACGCTCGAGACGGTGCGCGCGCGGGGTCGAATCGCCGTCGGCGCAGGGGTGGGGCGCGGTGGGGTGGCCCGCGGGCCACTAGGTCGGGGTAGCTGAGTGGGTGGCACAGGGGTGGGGGTCACGCTCAGCCATCAGGAGGGGGTCAAGGGGCAAAGCACGCGCCTGGAGGGGAATTCGCCCTCCCTATTTTTCTACATTTTCCTCTGACGGAAACTCCAAACGAGAAAACTGAGAGCTCTATGACCGAAAGCATGACCGAGTTCGTCGGAGGGAAAGAAAAAAAATGAAGGATTGTCCAGCTTTCGTGGTATACCTCTTTCGATTCCAGAAAGCACACAACTCGTGGAAATTGTGTTGACAATGACGTTGCTATGGATAGCTGACGGAGCGCGCGTTTCACCGTGACTCGTTCAACAATATACTAAGGCTAATCGATCGTTTGTAAATTGATGCCTAACAAGAAACGTAAATTTCATTTTCTTGCAATATTTCCACCTAAATGGTACGTTCTATTTTTGTTTGACATTTAAAAAGATACTCTTTTATTTCAATACATATTTCATTCTTTTTAATTACTAATTTAAATAATTCTTCATTTTTTATTTATACAACTCAATGTTATATTATTCTACAAAATCAAACGTACCATTTAGGGAAAAATTTGAGAAATATGAAAGATACTGTTCGATACTATTGTCATATAGCTAACTTTGAAACCAAAATGTGATAGTGTTTATTCTTATACGAACATCTGCATTTTCCACGGGGTGCAGCTGGTATCGAATTCTCAACGAAACGAGAAAAAAAAGAGAGAGCTGTTGCGACTTACCTTGTTCTACTCGAAAAACTTCGTAACCATACGCTTTCCCCATGACTAACAGGTGGAAGCCGTTTGGAACGTGCAGCTTTCTTCAAGATTAGCAGGTGGAGGATGCTACTGGTGCTCGTAGTCGCGGATTATTTAGAACCAGATCCTGAGGACCGTAGAAAGCAGATGGACAGCTTGTTGAAAGCGCGTTTCCGTAGGACCGTTTTTTCTCTTTCTTCTTCTCTGTTCATCAACGATTTCAAGAACAATGGCATCTTTAAATGAAACGTTTTCCACGGAATTTTCCTCTGTCTCGTTTTAAAAGGGATTTTTCGCTGGTAAGCAATTGAAAACTCAACCAGTAATCCTCTCCGTCTCTGCAAAGAAGAAAACGGTTAGTAATTCATTTTAATAACGAATATACCAACCAATACAAGTTTTCCTACCTCATGTCTGATGGAAACGTTTCTTGAGGATTATATATTAAAGAGGAAACGATTTTCTTAGGCGAAAGAAATTTGCACTGGGAGACGAGTTATGAACTCTTAGGTATAGAAAGTAATACGATTGCGTGTTTGTACGTTCAATAGACAGTAAGGTGTAGCGGTGAAAATGTTTTATTGATGGCTTATTGCTCGAATCGATCGACGCCTCCACGGCAGTAAGTAATGTAACAGTTCACATACGCTCCCCGGTCACTGGAAATTATAAAATTATTATTTACGAATCTTGCTGCATAAATGCTATCAAATTAAATATAAAAATTGATCTAAGTTTCGTACCATTAACGATTAAACATCTCTTTCAATTTGTCCATACTGTCAAATTATGATTTTTTACCATTCCACGTTTTGTAATTCCTGAAACAAAAACGATGTAAGTATACTTTGTACATGTTCCATGGTATAAGCACGAAGTAATGGCAATTAAATACAACTACTCTTGCAGACGTACGCTTACGTAAAGAATATGAAATGACTTGCACGCTATGATTACTGCAGCGCAAATTTAAAGCGAACATGCATACCGTACTATTTATTTCGCTCGATAATGGCTTGTACATGCAAAAATACACATGTTTAAAATAAATTACCTTTATGAGAAAAAAAAGTCTGTTTGACTTTTATGGAGTAAAATTATAAAAAAAGCAAAAATGATATAAAGCAAAAATATAACCATGTTCTATAAATCTATGACAATCTGATCGTTTGCGTCTAATGTATGATATTATTATGATAAATAAGTTTAAGAGGTTAACAAATAAGTTTCATGTACCATATGCATAAATCAAAGAATGAATAATAAATGCGTTGCAAATCCATGTACGCGAAAGTTTTGGTGCTGCTTTGCCCTCTGCAGAAGTCATTCCGGTATCCGTTAGCTCGACTGCAACATCCAAAGTAAATATTTTATAAGACTGGTCGATTTCATGCTACGGATTGGTGGACAGACAACCTTCACGCTACAAAAATCGTTAACCGACATAAATAAACTTTCTTTTTGTTGTACATAGTTAACACGTGTATTAATTTTACAAGTATGTAATTGTCATGACAACATTTTACTTTTACGTATTATTATGATTCATACTTCACGGTTGTCTATACTTTGAGTAAAACACTCAATTCTCCATTATATAGTTCAATTAATTTAAAATAATAAGTACTTTTAAAATCAAACTCACCACGTTTCACCACCGACAACACAAAATGGTAGAACGTAGTTCCAATAATATCAACTAGGCGGGAATCATAAAGTATTCGAATCTTAAATGATACTCAATATTTCTTATTTAATAAATATTAAATCAACAATTTTTTTTAATTTTTATATCGATTTAAATATAATTTAAGTTACTTTCAGAAGTTTTATATTTTATGATTTAATATTTATTAAATATTACGTTATCTGGCAGCCATTGAATACTTAACTCTAGTGGGTGTACTTATACCGCAGTTCACCAGAGTCCATAACTGCGACGCGCAGGTTGGAAGATGGTGGGGGAACGCAGCGAGCTCTCTGCTAATCGCTTTCCACTTTGTTTGGGAGTATCGCCAATCAGGGCGAAGATGCGCACTGGAGAAGCGCGAAGAACGAAAACCGGTCTTTTCGCATGAACTCTGGTGAATAAGAAATATAAATTAACTACATCAATGAAAACAAGACTTGTTTCTTCGTTCAGAAATGGCGGGAAGAATTGTTAAAATGGCTAAGCTGCACAAAGCGCGCACATACCAAGTTCTTACTTATAAGTTGAATGTAATGTCCAGTTGACAGATAAAGATTTTTTTTTAAGTATGATTTTGTTCAGTAATTAACGTGATAAGCTTATCTATTTATCAAGTATGCGTAATTTCTGTTTTCATTGTAATTAACGAAGGTTATAATTGAATATAACAACTATAATTTAAGAAAAGTATTAATTATATTTATATAAGTATTATACAAAACTTAAAAAGTTTGGTTTAAACAATTTAAAATGGATAATGACAGTGATTCTGACGTAGACGACGTGTTAAATGATCTTCTAGCTATTGGCGAAGAAAACACACAGGACTCATCGCCCAAAAAAACTTTAAAAGAATTAGATTTTAATTTTGTAGATAGTGTGCCTAAAACAAACGATGAAGAAAATGAATCGAATAAACAAGATAAAAGTGAAGTATATGATGATACACTCGATTCTTCGGACGATGAAGATAGACGTTATTTTGAAGAACAGAAGTATTCTAACTATGGACGTGATATAAAATCATTATTAAAGAAAGAAGGATCTAACCAAAATGAGAACAGACCTCGTGCAATAAGTTCAAAAGCATTTGATTTTAGTGCTACAAACAAAAGCACAGCTATAAGTACAACAACCAATAACAATAATACTAAATCAAAAGATGTTTATAGCGATCCATTTTTTGGATTAAGAATTATTAATCCAATGGTGTCTTCAGCAGAATTAACATCACGTATGAATGGTAAAATACCAGTAACCGTATCAAAAATGAAGTATCATCTTAATTCAGAGAATATAGAAAAAGACTGGGTAATTGCTGGTGTAGTAATAAGTAAATCACCTCCAAAAACTTCTAAAAATGGAAGCTCATATTCTATATGGAAGATAAGTGATTTGTCTGATACTATAAATACTGTGAGCCTTTTCATGTTTAGTACCGCATATAAATCATTTTGGAAAACTACTGTTGGAACTGTTATAGGTGTTCTGAATCCTAATATTCTAGAATCTAAAGATAATATAGATCAAGCTACATTGTCCATCGATAATCCACAAAAAGTCATGATTTTAGGTACATCCAAAGACCTGGGAAAATGTAGGTCAAGAAAAAAGAATGGAGATCCGTGCAGTTCTATTGTAAACTTAAGCCGTTGTGAATTTTGTTTGTATCATATTAAACAGGAATATAAGAAATGCTCCACTAGATCAGAACTACAAGCATATAGTAACACACAGAAATTCTCTGTAGATATGTTAAAGAAAGACAAACCAAAGAAATCCCTTAATTGCAACATGCCAGAATTTAATGCTATTGTTGCTGTAAAAAGTAAAAAGTTACAGGAAAAAGATGCTAAACGTTTAGCATTATTGTCAGGAATTAATAAACCTGAAAATTCAGCTAGTACAAAATTAGCATATGATATGAAAGATAAAATTCTAAAAGAATCATTGGCACAACAAATACAAAAGAACATGGAAAAATTAAAAGAGTCAAGGGGATGGAGAGCTACAGTATTGTCCCAAGCATCTAATGATATATCATCATCATCATCATCACCACCTACATTGTCACAATTGAATAAATCAAAGAAACAAGATTTAAGTATGCTATCGTCGTCTTCACGGCCCCGTTTAGGTCTCGGTTGTCAAGGAGGAACGATAGATCTGTCAGAACCTATAACTAAAAAACAAATGAATGTAGCGAAAAATAATGCAATTAAATGGGTTCAAAAAAATGGAAAAATTAAACCTAGTGATCCTAATAAAATACGACTAAACAAAGAAGATAAATTAAAGAAAGGGAAGAAACGATCAAGAGAATCGGAAAATGATGAAACTCAAGAAGCAAAGAAACCAAACGTGATATCAGATAAATTTAAAGAATTGATGCAGACTAAGTCTGCCCATACTGATCTTATTGAAAGATCTTACCAAGAGGAAGAAGAAAAATATTTCAACAAATTAGAAATGAAAGAAAGAATGGAAGAAAAAATGTTGAATACCTATAAGGTTTCTTGTAAAGCTGTTAAATGTTTAATATGTAAATATACATCGTTCTCTGCTTCCGACATGTGTAAAGAGCAGAAACATCCATTGCGTGTTATAGATGCAACTAAAAGATTTTTCAAATGTACAGATTGTGGAAATAGAACAGTAAGTTTAGATAGAATACCTTCGCATAGTTGTATAAAATGCAGTAGTTCGAATTGGTCAAGAGCTGCAATGATGGATGAGAGAAGAACAAATGTTGCTGTTACCGCGTTATCTATACGAGGCGATGAAGAAACTTTTATGGGATCGATGACTAAAGATGCCAATCTTAATCTTTTAGTACCAGAAAAGGATGACAAATAACGTCATGTATGCTCAATAAATTAAAATTTATAAAATACATACATGTAAAGAGTGACATCTTTTTTCTACAGTTTTGTATCCAGTCGTCTTTTATACTGTCTCTTATAAATACAAGTAACTACATTTGTGTGGTTTTATTGTCCTTAACACAGTATTCTTTGATTTTATAAAATATACAAATATAAAAAAACTCTAAATGATGTAACTGTTATATGTATACAACAATTACAGAAATAATAAAAGGAAATAAATACATTCAATTGTGTCCATCCAAATATACACATTAAGCAAGAATATTTAAATACAAATAGGTGTTAAAATGATATCAAATATGTCCCATTGTATAATTTTTTTTTTTATTATACCAATTCCTTCTTCGACCAATATGAATCTAATAATGCACTAAATAAGATAATTTTCTTCTATTCAACAGCACCTCATGGCATAAGCGAATATATCTTACAGATAATTTAAAACCGTTTCTTCTTTGTAATTTCATACGATTAAAATTTATCTATAAATATAAAAAGGGAGAGTATTAACGAAATTGTAAAGACGTTCTAATCGGAATCCGGAAATATCTCTCATCGTTGATTAGAGCAAATACAGTGAATGCTATTTGTCTATTTTACTAATCTATTTTTAACTATATTTCAGTTGCATGAAATCCATGAAAGTTATGGTGATATTTCCGGGTTCTAATAGCAACTTGTTTGCATGAGAAACATAGACTGTATTTTCCACTTCTTCTTTTTCATATTCTATTCTACTTAGATTTTCATTCAATTTTGATATTAACGATACGTCAATCTTTTTCCATCCATAAATTTTGAATAATTGCGTACGTGAAAAAAGAGAGATTAGAAATAATGAATAAAGAATCTTTACTTTTGTACTAGCAAGCAGGATAAGAGTACATACAATTGTAATTATATTATAAATAATAATTAGATAGATTAGATGTATAATAAAAGGAAATATGAATTTTGTATGTTTGTAAATTAATAATTTGAGGACACAAATATGGCGTATTTGATAAAAATTACTTGTATGTTGTAGACTACATTATTTCAATATCCCTCTTTATCACCTCACAAAACATTCTGAATAGAATGTGTATCATAATACGACTAATATTTGTCATGTAATCTTCGAACTCATACCTTCATCGTAAACCTCATGCTCGCTTCAACGAAGACGAGTTAAAATCTTTAGAACGCAGCATAAATGTATTTTACGCGTATAATACATACAAAATATGAGGTATTAAATCCGTAGTTTGAGAAGTTTGATCAAGCAAAAACTTACAACGATTACATCTTTGTATTGCCTTGCTAAATCAAAAGTATCTCTTTAATAAACGAAAGTGTTTTCCTAGAGCAATATCGAAGAATAAAATTGCCAAAAAATTAGAAATCTGTTAGCAGATTATACAACTATGCTTATGGAAGAGATCATAGGCAAGCCATAATCTAAGTACGTCATCGATTTACTTAAATGAGATGTATAAACGACGTCTTTTTCTCTTTATGTATTCCTACTTACAAACCCACTTTCTTCGTTTTCATTCTTACCTTACAAATAAACAAAAAAGGAAAAAAAAATTGTTTTAAAAAAAAAAAGAAGAAAAAACAAAGATTACACGGCTTTTCCTAATCTCTTTCAAAGTTTTTATCAAGTTCTTATAGAACTGGAAACTTGCATACTTAAAATAAGCTTTTTACTAAGCAGAAGAAATAATCGCACCGACGTTGTAATAAATAATCTAGATTCCTATTGAAAGAATGTTTACATGTAAAAATGTAAAGAAATATTAAACTAACATTTAACATTTCACTGTTTGAAGACAATACACAGATACAATACTTTCAAACCACCATATGTTTTGGAATTCGTTGTGCACATATCATGAGCCAGATCATTTTTTTTTTTTTTTTTTTAGAACGTTCTATTTTGATGAAGTTTTTTTTTTTTTTTTAATAAAGCTTTATCCCTGGATCGCATACAGTGTAATAGTATAAATAATCTAATTATACTATTAATTAATAACACATTATTTCCACCAACGATTCACAATATCCGCGAACCTTCCTTTATTATACATTGATATTCCATAAAAGATACTTCACCAAAATTGCACGTTTCATACTTTTCACATTTATACATACATATTATTGTTTATTACAAAGGCATCATATGAGTAAGCAAATTAAATTAACAATGTTAAAATAAATTTTGTAATATTTTCAAATAACTGCCACTTAGATATTGCAGAAGATACTTCTTTACTAATAGTGTGCACCGTTTTTATAACAATCGAAAAGATACATTTCGATACATTTGCGGAGCATTTGTTATATACAATTGTGAATGTACAAAATATAAGAGTCGATAGCCAGCGAAGTTAATGTAGTTTTACGAAAGAATTCTCTTATGTTTACATGTGTATCACTCGGTGAGTCGGAAAGATGGAAGTTTTCCGGGACATTACGCAATTCTTAACTTATGTCTAAGGCAACAGTGCCATTAAAAATTTAAGTCTATGTACAGAACTCTTTATTATTCATATGAATTTAGTAATCGGTATAGAATGCACGATAAGCAACTTTTTTATGTTTATAATAATCAGTTTATTACAGCTTCTCCATGATTGTGTGTCTGAACAAAAATATCGCTACATTCATCCTCGTGCTGCCAAATATTATTGTTCCTGTTTTTTTTAAATCATAAAATCAATGATGGAAGATGATGAACATCAATTTGATACAAAATTATTATATCCCAAACCATGTAATTCAGCATTGTAGCGCGTGTAATTATTGAAATAAATCCATTTGAATAATTAAAGAATGTAATTTGCAATAGAAGGTAATGTTGCGTGAAATAGGCAGGTATCAAGCTGGCTTAATTAAGTGTCACAGTCGAGTTGCCTTTTCTTTCTTCATGGACATGGATTATCGGCGCGCCACGTGTTATGCCTTTTTTTTTTTTACTTTTACGTATCAATTGCGAATTGTTTGAATAATTTTATGACGTATGTACTGCATCGTATAAATTTTATAAACATGTCCTTCTATGTGCTTTCCTTTGAAGTATGATGCAAGAGAGAACATATACTTATGTTTCTCTCTGAAGCTAAAAGAACTGTCTGTTGTGTCACGGATTTAATAGTCATCCAGATCAAAACTGTCAACTTCAACATCTTCCAACTGCATACTCTGAAAGTCCACTTTGTACCGCAATATACCTGTAAAATACACATATGGAAATACTATTTTAGTAGATAAAATCCATGTAATGGATATAAATTTCTATGCTGTATTTATGAAATTAAATGAAAGTATCTTAATAATATAGTACGAATAATGCTAGAAAAACTTTAATGAGCAAATTAATAAAATAGAACTTGCAATGAATTATTCTGTAGAAATATGATGACAAATAACATTAATATGATATAATTATTATTAGTCATGCATAACACCTATTTTGCTAAGTGTTATTCTATTTTTCAATACATCATTAAAAGCTAACAAAATAAAATTGAAGAATTAATACTTGTGAAAAACTCAGTTGTTTTAATACAGTTTAAGAAACGAAAGAATTTCTATGATAATATAAGAAGAATATTTAGTACATCAATAACATTACTGCAAAAAATAATAAATATTACAAATATTTTGAATAACAAGCAGTACATACTAATAAAGATATAGAAGTGATGCTACAATAAAAATAGTCAGTATTTGAATTCTAATAAAATAAAATATGATTATAAATATAAATGTCCATGTTGAAGAGTTTAAAACAACAAAGGAATAAATTGAATAATTTAATTGATATTACTAATAAAAAAGAAAGAGAAAATTTTATATTAGCACATAAAATCATTTTTTATACAATGAATAACAACCTAAAGCAGAACAATACATTTAATGACAAAAAGTACGATAAGGCTTCATAAGATATTAATTTCACTGCTTTCTTTTCTTTTGCTAAATTAGTAAAAAGCAATTACTATACCTTTCCCAATATGCAAGCTAATAGAAACAGACAATCAATTAGTACTTATGCTTGATCAAATATACTATTCAACAAAGCCTAACTATGTATTACATCACACACAATTATTTGCTTTTTGCATCCATCACCAAAGAGTGAAGCATAATGAATTTTATGTTACACTTATTTTCTTCCAACAATAAATATGTGCTTCTAAAGTGATGTATGTCCATGGTGATGAAATTAACATCTGCCTATTGCATATCATGCAGTAAGCATTTGTATTTATTTATATAAGCAGAAAAATGCATTTGTGTTCAAATGTATGTTAAATATAATCTCGGAAAAAAAAGTTAAAAAAAGAATTTCTTTACATAGAAAATGTTAAAAAACTGAATGAATACATACTTATCAAATACCTACTGAAATTCTAGACACAGAGTAAAAAATTAAGTGATCAGTAAGTTAATATAGATGCTAGAAAGAAGAAAAGAAAAAATAAACTAATGTTTATACACGAAAAAAAGAAGAAAAACTACATTCAAAATACAAAATCAAAATACATTATTTAGCCTGTTACATTAAAAGACCAAGAAGCTTAACATGCAAAAAAAATTTCCAATGCATGTCTACTGCACAAAAACATAAAAAAATAGTGGTTTCAATGTTATTTTGAAAATCACATATATATATACACATGTGCATATATATACATATATCTATCATCTATAATTTTGCAAATTATTACTTTAAAATTTGTGAGTTTATAAAGCAGCCTTGTCAGAAGTTAGTTTACATTTTTTTTTATTTTTATATCAAGTAGATTTATAACAGCATGTACCAAAAAACTGTCTAACTATAAGTAATCATTATCATATTAATACATCATACATCTATACAAATTTTAAAAATACAAAAAATGTATATATTGATTAACAGTTTCCTTAATATTTTGGAAGGATTCTATACTATATTAAGAAGTTATTAGCTATTCTTGCGCCTGGCTTTTACATATATAAATATGCAACAAAGGTGAAGAATTATAAGACAAAAATATCTGTGTGTCATGAAAGTAAGCAATACTATTCACCCATTAAACCAATCATTGTATATTGTGCCTACAACTGGATTTTTATTACTAATTATGTAATTTATAATTGCTAATCGTAAAAATAAATCTAACGATGTTCAAGACAGAAAAATTAGACGTTTTGGATACATTGACTCACCTCCTTCAAATACAATTATCCATAATTCATATATATACAAGATTTTCTTAATTTTTGTACCACCAAGAAAAAAAGAAGACAGCAAAATTTCCAGGCGTTTTATTTTGTAAAAGTAAACATTATATCTCGAAATTCACAACTAAAAATATCTATATTCACATTCAAACTCATCAGAAGAGACATACATATACTACAGATTTGCACAGAAGTATCGAACTATACTATTCAGTGAGAAATTCAACAGAAGAAACTGCAAATTTTTTGGACAAATTTATCGTTAATACTTAATCGTCTACTGAATATAAAAGTCCGTGAATATATCATAAGGAATTGTACTACAATTCATAGAAAAAACATAACTTTGATGATAATAATCTCTTCATGATGAGTATAGAAACACTATGAGTATATTATTTATATTATGAAATGATATACATATGTTTTGCCTACACTTAATATTCAGACCAGGCGAATAAGATTTATTGTACAATAATTATTACACAATCAAATTATTAATGATCACCGTATTTTCTTTATACGAAGGTTTATTATTGTTGAGTTTCATTAAATAATTAAATGCCGATAGTATGTAATTGTTCTATTATTTCTTTATATACACTAATAAAAGGGTTTTAAATATTTTGATAAATTTGTCCAGTTCTGAAAGTAATATGTTCTATAATACACGAAATGTAAACGAATGCACTCAAGACAGAGAAAGAGCTACCTGGTCAACTTTGAGTATTTCACAGATGAAATTAGTAATCATCGAGGTCAACATCATCAAGAGGCTCATCAGCCTGCAGTGACTGGAAATCAACTTTGTAGCGGAGGATTCCTATACATCAAGATATACTCCATAATTAATAATAATATTCCTACCCTTTCTTTTAATACCATATACTTTTCAAACATATATGAATTTTCGTAACGTCTTGACGAAAACCTTTCTTTTTAATGGTTTTATACCATTTTTCATTTGACGAACAAAGTAATATGCAATAAATATATTTTACAAACGTGAACAAATGATCTGATGAAGATGAAGGAAGACAAAAATTTTCTTCACATAATACACGGACATTAAATTTACACATTTCTCACTTAGTAAATTAGCTAATCAAGGTGGAATCAGCCGCTTTTTCTGTTAGTATGTATGTTAAGTGGACAGATACGAATTACTGTTTCACAAAAATATTACTTTCAGCCGAATCGAAGTTAGTAATAACAAGAAGCAAATAGAAATTAAACTTACCTCCGATTCCGCCGAAACCTCTTACAAACTGAGAACCTTCCTGAGATTTGTCAGTAATGATTTCCAAAGTGGCGCCAAAACTTTTGTAGTTGTTTGCAAGCCATTCGAGTAGCGGTTGACATTCTACAAGCTCCAATTCTACTCCGCTCTAGATATAATAAATAATATCCAATGTCATTTAAGTATATTTACGTGTTTATTAATAGAAGTAATTGAAATTATTTTCAACTCACTTCCTTATCAGTGAAATGAGTTTTGTCTTTTTCCTGTTCCGGCGTTAAATGCAAAACCTTTTCTTCTGCATTTGTATGATTCTTTAAAACGTATCTCTGTATATCTAAATTTTCCCAACAAATAAGAGTTTCCACGCTACCTAATTCTAATGCTCTTAGAGTATCTTCTACACCAAAACAATATTTTCCCGTATCTTGTGAAATTTCATCGAAGTAACGACCTAAACAACGCGGAATGTTCAAATTAATTGTTAAATTCTTTATAAAGTAACTACAATGTACAAATACTAACCAATTAATTTCTTCTCTTGAATGAATTTTACATTCTGTAAAGATTCAGCAGCTAATTCGATAGCTTGATTAAAACCATTCTCTCCACCGTACGAGACATCTACTAATTTTATGACCTTCGCTTGTAATCTCTGGAAACATAATCATTAGGTTATTCAAATCATCAGTGAATATTATTCTGTTAACTCTTAAGATAGAGATGATTAGCGCCTGAAATTAACATCTATAAACTCACCGGATCAAACATATCGGACTGACTAAGTTCCGTTTTAAAGTCAGCACTACCCGCTAAAATCAATCCGGCGATATTAGGTTTATCATTAGTAATATACAGTTGAGTAGCAACTTCGGCAACTTTTCGGACATAATTGTGTCGCTTTTCCATACGTAATCGAGCGAAACGGAGAGCCGACTGTCCTCCTCTGCCTGAAATTCAATTTAACTTACCATACTTTATAATACAACTCAAATGATCTGCTAATTAACAACATACCATGCTTCTTTGGAAGATCTACAGTAAATTTGTGTAGAACCTCGCGGGTATTTCCTTGTAGCGTACCAAACAATGCTCCATTACCATCCATTACTATAAAACCAAACTTATTATCATCAGCAAGCAATGCTGTAAGTGCCTCGGTGTGAAACTGAAAAACATCAATGTACACGTTAAAATTAATTTCAGTAGATTTGATCCGCATTCAAAGATATTGCATAAGGTTATACACAATAAAGTACCTTGTTATCGCAAAGATAAAGAGAAGTATTAATAGGTTTAAAAGGTTCAAAATCAATGTTAACTTTCTTTTCTTTTCCTTCTTCCGTTACAATGGTACCACAGTATATTACCAGGCCATTTGGAGGTACTAAAACAATAATATAATTATTGTACAATAAAATAGACAGGAAATTTACTTTATATTTTTATAATTTTATAAGATAAACAACATAATTGTAACAAAATTATCATAATGAGGTAATAAAAATTACCTTTAGTATATAATTTTAGCCTATGTTGGACTGATGTGATTGCACCCAAAACAGAGAGTCTATTTACACGAGACTTAATATTTGATGCAGTACCAAACTCGTCTGCTAACATTTTGCTTACTCTCGATATTTGATCTTTTGGAGGAATGATTAATGAAATCATGCTAGTCCCATTCCTACAAAGACAGAGGTACATAATACCTGTTAATTATATATCATAAAAAGTATTAACTCAAGGAACAATTTGGATCAGCGTTATACCAATAAAACACATATCTTTTTACACCATAATATGAAATTCAATGATGAGACATTAAATTACTGCACATGAAAATTTATGAAAATTTCCAAAGTTCATAAGGAAATTTTCGTAAAATTAGATAAAATTCATTTTCGCAAGCGAAACGAAAGTCGGTTAGTACCTGCTTACCACATGTTCTTTAAAGCATATGTGCTGATAGAAAATCGAACAGCTGATAGGAAAAGGCGCGGCAACGTTAATTTCGGCCTACTTACCCTCTGGCCATTTCAAGGCTTTTTATGAGTTTCTTAATTTTCCAAATCTCAACATTGCGGTCAGCGGAAGTCTCCTCGTTGGACATTGCTGCGCGTTCTGTCGCGTGGTCGCGGCTTACGATATTCTAGTAAATTAATCTTTTAACACCAACGGGACGAAGCCTGGAAAGGTGGTCCACGTCGTCGTGAAAGCCGGATCTACAAATTTTTCTCTGAAATAAGCGATCAATGTATTTATCGATGAATCTGCTCCAATCCAGTTTATACCGGATTATGTCAGAAAGAACGTGTTCGATAGAGAACTGCTATTCTGTCTCAGTGAAACGAAACTATCGTTTCTTACACTTTTCACTCACTTTGAGATCAGTATGTTGATGTTTGCCACAAGTATTACGTTTTAAAAGCGGTACTTGTGACACAGCGGGTACCACGCGAAAGCGAATCTCGGAATGCACACGTCGGCCATGCGATGGCACAGCGAAACGTCAGTACTTCGGTGGATGGATGTACTGCAAGGTACAAAATGGGAAGTAAAAAGACTGAAGGGTTTATGCGCGAGCAGCGCCTCGAGGCCGTTTCTGGTGGTATGGGCGCAGCCGCATTCGTATTGGGTATTCGTGATACTGCATACCTTAATCCTTTATTTGTAATAATTCAGAAATTCACTCAATCTTTTACTATTTTTCAAAATTTTCATTAGAACTTTGTAAGAACATATATAACAATTGATATAACAATTGGGAATTTATGCACTTTAATGCAGAAGCCTAAAGACCAGTGCACATCAAAACCACAAGACTATTTAGGAACACCATATTTTAATTAGTTGAAATCTATAATATATATATATTTGATTTTATTTATTGTGTACTAGTCTTTGGTAGCCTCACGCGTTAATTATTAATTAATCGCAAAATTAAATCGCTCATAAAAAGGTATCTCAAATTCGATTCCGGTGCCATCTATTTAAAAATGGAGGAAACTATTCCGCATTTAGTTTCCACCAGTTTCGGATAGATGGTGCTGTCATTCCTCTGAAAACCGGTCGGTACAGTTAAAGCTGGATATATGCAACAAACATTGGGACCCAGACGTTTCATATATCCAGCCGAGGTGTCGATTCTGGGCATTTAATGTTTCATATATCCAGCCGAGGTGTCGATTCTGGGCATTTAATGTTGCATATATCCAGTCGGGGTGTCGATTCTGCGTCCGTACACATCATTTGTATTCAGCCGCGGTACCTATTCACCAGATTCCATATACCGCAGTTCATCAGAGTCCATAACTGCGAAAAGACCAGTTTTCGTTCTTCGCGCTTCTCCAGTGCGCATCTTCGCCCTGATTGGCGATACTCCCAAACGAAGTGGAAAGCGATTAGCAGAGAACTCGCTGCGTTCCCCCACCATCTTCCAACCTGCGCGTTGCAGTTATGGACTCTGGTGAACTGCGGTATAACGTTCGTACACAATATGCGACGTGTTGCAATTGATAAAATAGGCACGACTGTCGTACCAATTATGCTCTATACATGCATGGGGTATCTGGCACCCCCAAAATCATGACCCCTCGAGAAGATATAAAAGCATGTTTAGTCTTTTTTGTATCTGTAATCACTGCTATCTGTATTTATTTTTAAACGTAAATATACTCTTAAATGTTATTTGTAATATTACCATAATGCACATATCATCATTTCCTCTGTAAAATAGAATTTTCTTCTACCTCTTATAATGGGAATACAAACTTATAGAAAATACATATACTATTTGAAATCAACAGGAATATGTATTGTTATGATGGGGTTAGTTAATATATTTGCAAATATATTATCGAAATCGTTTAATTGATTCATGATAATGATCTATGTTTTTCATGTAGCGGTTGTTGGGTTTTGTACCAATTGAGACAAATAACTCAAATTTTACAGTCTACTCTGCCCACCAATGTTTTGAATCTAGAGCATGCTCATGCACAATACATATATGTTGATGATCCTAGATTTAAAGGTATTTGTTAATTCTTTGTTATGTATATGAGTTTATAATAGTCCTTTTAACATTTCTTTAACATCCTATTATAATTTTAGATATACTTAATAAGACTGAAAGTTTACAATCATCTGTGCCAAAGCAACATGTTGCTTTCAGTGATGCTATAATGAAGTGGTGGAAAGCAGTGAACCATAACATGACATACAAGTTATTGCATATGGCTCAACATGGAAATGAATCAGAACGCTTAAGAGCTCTGTATACTCTGAATTCTACAAAACATTTAAAAGGTACCTTTGTTCGTGTAATAATCCTTTGCATACATGTCACTAATCTCCAATTAATTATAGATTGGCATTATCAACACATTGCACAAATGTTAGATGCAAGAACTGCAGTATCTATTGCAAGACTACCAAATGTTGATTTAAGATTCTTTTTAAAACCACCATATTCTCATATGAAGCATAAGTTACATGTATGTGCAATAATATTTTGCAATAAAATTATGTTTATAAGACGTTTAAAGAGCATATTTCTTTCAGGATGTAATAGAAAGGATACATCAATTACTACTTGAATTGAGTAGATTATGTGAACATACACATCCGTGTCTTATTCAGTTTCTTAATAAAAAGTTTAAAGATACATACTCTGTAAGTATATAGTATTATAGCTTACAATTTCATTACTTATTTTTTGTACATTTTAATTATCTGTAAAGTATAAAACAAACAGGATAGTATGATACTTGATCACGATTTAACAAGCTTAGGATTGGTTGTTGCACCAGATGTAGTATGGGATCAAGAACTATTACAGAATTGTGTTCAAGCATTATGTCATCATTCTTGTCTTGAAGAATACAGTAAAGGTAATTATAAAAACATTCCTTGTATGAAGTATTTCAATCTAATACTCTTTCTTTCCAGATATCGCTGATGTTGGTGGTCTTCCAGTATTAATGATAATAAAAAAATTTTTTCAAAACAACATTAATATATGTATATTACTTGCAAAAATAATTTCCAATATTTCACTTCATTCGGAATATTTAGAACAGTTTTTTCAAGCAGGTATATGTAGATTTCGATTTATAATTTTTGAAGTACTGTGCTTCACATGTATGTAACATACTCTTTTTTATTGGAAGGCTGGATTGGTACATTAGTAGAATGGTCTCAAAATTCTGATATACGATTATCCGCTCCTGCGAGTCGGGCACTAGCAAATTTAGACATGGACGAAAATAAGGATGTCAAGTATCCAAGACGAATTTATCTTCTTCATCCTTTAAACAAAATTAGAGGAAAAATAAAGATGGATGTTGTTTTTCTACATGGACTTCTTGGCGGTGTATTTATAACATGGAGACAGAGGGATATAGATACATCTACACTAGGAGTTGTAGGTTTGTTAGTATACAAATAGTAGACTACATTTTCTTTGATTTGAACAAATTAAATTGCAATTAATGTCAGTATTTTAATTTACTCGAAATAAATTTACATTGGTGGTGATTTATTACAGATTCTTATACCATACCAGATGGTATTGAGACTGTTGCAAGTTTGATGGATGATCAGTCACCGGAATTTCTAAAAGATTTGGCTTATGACTTCAGAAAACACGAGTGGGATAAAATAGGACAAGATTTTGAAATAATTTTAGATGATTGTCCTCAAAATTCTAATGCCAAATCATCTGGACCATTTTTTCATAAAGGGTACAATGTTTTGAATGATTTATATCATTAATTAATTCTCATACGTTTAAAAAATGTATTGTTTTAGGAATGATATTTGCACAAAGAAATATGAATATGATAAACAGCACAGAACTCAGTGTTGGCCTAAAGATTGGTTACCAAAGGATATTCCATCTCTTCGAGTTATCGGAATAAATTATGATACAAACTTATCAATGTGGACTCCGTCATGCCCGATAGACGGAATACAGTATGTTCCTTAAGTATTCTGTTGTGTAAAGATTTGTATATTATAACTTCAAATGTAATTTTACATTTAGAACCACTATGAATGAAAGAAGCGCAGAATATGTGAAGAAACTGTTGACTGCAGGCATTGGGAAACGACCTATGATTTGGGTATGCCATTCAATGGGTGGCTTATTAGTTAAACAAATGCTTATTAATGGTTAGTCTCTTAAGTTTTATGACATGTATATTCATTATTTTATAAGGTTATATATTTGTATGATAATCTTTCTCTTTATAGAATGGAAAAATGGCGACAAAAATAATATATGTAAAAATACTCGGGGTATAGTGTTTTATAGTACTCCACACCGAGGTTCTCGCGTAGCAGCTTTAAAACAGACAGTACAAATGCTAGTGTGGCCATCAGTAGAAGTGCAAGAACTTCGTGAAGGTATATGAACACCAGGATAGTATTACTCCTTAGTTTCTTACCAATGTATTTTAAGAAAGATTATTCTATTTAGAGTCACCACATTTATTAGAATTACATAAAGAATTCCTTGATATGTTGAAGCAATATCCTATGGAGGTTGTAAGTTTCAGTGAAACTAAATCTACATTAATAACTGCGTTAAAAGTTCCGTTTCAGTTTGTTACTTCCAATTCGGCAGGTACGCTATTAATGAGAATTATTAATATGTAAATAGTTTTTCAGTATAAGCAAACATTTAAATGTTTTTATAGATCCTGGAATAGGAGAGTTTTATGAAATTGCACAAGATCACTTATCGATATGTAAACCAGCTAGCAGGTAACTATTTATTTTTATCATACACTTGTTTAGAATTTGAAGGGTCAAAATCTAATAATTATTTTTTGTAGATATTCCTTTCTATACCAAAAGCTTTTAAGTATGATAAAACATCATGTAACTCCTCACGAGGAAAACAAATTTTCTCCAATTGTGGAACTGGTCTCATTATCAAAAAGATTATTTTAATTCTGGGCATATTTGCATATTTTTGTACATGATCACAGAAAGGTACACGGAGATTATGTATCTATTTATCAAAAGATTTATTTTTATATAATTAATTACTAATTAATACTTTGCAATAGAAAAAGATAAATGAACATAGAAAAAGCATATTTTTCTTTTTTTTTTTTTGTTTAATAACAATAGTTCCAATTTAGAGTGAACATGTTTATGTTACAAAAATATTAAGTATTTTCAAGTACTCCATTTACGTTATTGATTTATTTCTTTGACTAGAATAAATAATATAATTTCTCAGTAAAAAATAATTTTTTTTTAAATGAACCATGAAATGTTTGCTCAACATAGGGTAACGATAATATAGAATACTATACATTAAAGTATATTAAATCCTACATGTACAAGTATAATTATTTCATGATGTGATACTTTCTTTGTTGTTTAAATAAAATATACATGCCACTGCGAAAGAATTGTATGTCGTATTTACTTAGGGCACTGAATAAATTAAATGAAAATAAAACTGATAAAAATTTTATTTTATTATTACCGAATTCAGAAATTTGTGTCGTAATCAGGAT